CTCTCTCTCTCGGCAGTTTGGCCGAGAACCACCAAAGAAAAAAAATGAACAACAGAGAAATTGAGGGAGACAAAGCTCGAGCAACTGATTTGAGGTAAAACCCTTTGAAACCCACTATTTGATTCGAATTTAAGCTTGAGAAAGTTTGATTTTGGTTAGATTTGAATAATTTTGAGTTAGGGTTTGAGTTTGAACAATTATTGTTGGAATTGAATGAAATTTGGGGGTTTTTAGTTATTGGACTTGTTTAATTGATTAGAAACTGATTTTGATGTATTCTGGAGAATATATATTGAAATTGGACTTGAATTGCAGGTTTGGCATTTTTCCTATTTATGTCGGCATGCTGCCGAAATGTTTTTAGAAACTTGTTTTTAAACTGAAATTAAATAGGAAAACCAAACCTATGGATTGGATTCTAATTTTTAAAGAACCCCCAAACTGAATTATAAAATCATTGTGAAAGTTGGATTTGAGTCAAGGCACACTGATAGGAAACAGATAAACATGATTGAACTTAATTCGTTTTAGGAATGATAAATACTTCCTAAGATATTGCTTTTGTGATAAAGCTAGTGGAGAAGGTCAAGTATTAAGGCTTTAAGGAAAGCGGAGGCTAGGAGAACTGAAGGCTAGCCCAGGTTTGACATTCGAGAGGTAGGATATTATTGTCCATATCCTTGTTAGCCTCACTTTAAATGATTTTGGCCAATGAAAATGTTTTAGAACAAAACATGTTTAAAGAAAATGATTTCAAAGGAATAGCATGAGAATGCTATTAAGTTTTCCAATGATTTTGGAAATGAGAATGCTAATGTCTAAGTACGCTCGGCATTGCAATAAGTGCCAGCGTTATGCCACAATTCCTAGAGAGGCCCTAGAGAACCTAACTTCCATTCTTAGTGCATGGCCTTTTGCCAAATGGGGGATTGACCTGATCGAACCGTGCATATTGTACTAGGAGGTTTCAAATTTGCCATCATCGCTGTGAACTACTACACCAAATGGTCCGAAGCAAAAGTTCTCACTAAGACCATAGAGGTCGTCTGCACGAGCTTTATTTAGAACAACATCGTATGCAGATTTGGAGTCTTGCACTCATTCATCTCCGATAATGGTAAGCAATTTGACAACGCCACTACAAGGAAATTTTGTGACGATTTAGGCATTCAAAGGGACTTCTCCGTGCCAATACACCCCTAGTCAAACAGTCAAGTTGAGGCTGTTAATAAGATCCTTAACTATACTTTGAAAAAGAAACTCAATGATCTAAAAGGAAAGTGGGCAGAAGAGCTCCCAAAAGTCCTATGGGCTTATAGAACAATGAGCTGAACTACTACGGTGGAAACTCTATTCTCTATGACGCATGGAGTGGAAGCAGTTCTCCTAGTGAAAATTGAAACGCCGGCCCTTTGGATAACAGCCTATGATGAGAGAGCAAACATTGAGGCGATGAATGGAGAACTAGATTTATTAGAAGAAAGAAGGCTTAACTCCCAGCTTCGACTTGCCGCATAGCAACAAAGGGCATCACGGTATTACAACAAGAAAGTAAAGCGGAGAAGGTTTGCCCTAAGGAACTTCGTCTTAAAAGGGGTTACTCAAAGTACCAAACCCAAAAACACTGGTCCTCTAGGCCCAACATGGGAAGGACCCTACCGTATAAGGGGAATGCTGCGCCCAAGAACCTACATTTTGGAAAGCCTCACCAGCAGAAAAATTCAACATCCGTGGAATGCTGAACAACTAAAATTGTATTATTAATGAATTAATGATCATTTGATTATTTTGATTATTCTTGGTTGTGTTGTTTTGCTATTTCACATGATAAATAAAGTAGAGGTTTAATTATGTTGCAACTTTTCTACTTATATTCGATAATACCTCAAAGAGGTAGACCCCTAATATGACATGTTTGCCTAAAAATCAAGGTTATTAACCACACATGGGGGGCAGGAAATTGTCTACGGGCCACTACACAAACAAGGACCTACGATCTACACACAATGCATTCGACAAATCGACAAAAGATAAGTTCAAAGAACTTATATGGCCAAATCCTCCATGGAGGAAAGGTAGTCACACTTAGCGGATAGAAAATCTACTAAGTCTAAAGCCCCAAGGGGCAATGAGAGTTCTAAGTTCATGTTGACTTAGATCGCTGGATCCTCCATGGAGGAGAGGCAGTCACACTTAGCATATAGAAAATCTGCTAAGTCTAAAGCCCCAAGGGCAATGAAGGTTCCAAGTCCAAGATGACTTAGACCATCAAATCCTCTAAGGAGGCAAGGCCATCATACTTAGGAAATTTTTACTACTTAAAGCCCCAAGGGGCCTAAATAGCCAGAAGAACCTCAAAGGAGGTGACACTGTAGGAAAAATAGAAAACATGCGTAGCAGAATTTTAAAAATTTTGTATAAGATCGTACTAACTCATGTTGCCATATATAATAAATTATTCAACAATCTAAAATACCTTGAAAGAGACTTCTAGAGACGTAGGAGGATGTAACCGAGAAAGCTTTAACCAACTAGCCTTCTTTACTATTCTCAAATTCCCGGATGGTGGAGTGTGTGGGCACTTGGTTTCTCAATGGTATTCACGCGGCTTGCTTCTCCTTCCAACCACCCAGATCTCTAGAATTTGCTATTATTAGTGAGAGGTATAATAATAAATTCGCTCATCTGAGAGTCTGTGGTCTAAAAAAAATATGAGTCCTTTGGATCCTATTTATATTAGCACACTAGGTGGGATTTTAGGAAAAGATTTTATCTCTCCCTTATCTCCTCTTGTGGCAAAAAAGTCCTAGGTTTTTCCTTGTGAAAAACCGACCACCACATAGGATGTGATAACCAAAATTTTGTTTCAAATTTTGATCTCCTCTTATCCTTGTAATTGGCGATTTTTCCACCTAATTTTGGCTTAGAAAATTCGGCCACCACCAGGATTAGATTTCAAAATTTGTTTCAAAAATTTAATCACACTTATCTTATGATTTTATCTCCATGGATAATGTTCCATAAATTCAGTTTAAATTCAAAATAAAATCATGTCAACTTTATTTGAATCGAACAATTATGTAGTAATTATCCAAAATCAAATCAAACTAGGAGAAAGTCTTCTCCACCTTATCCATAAGATAGGCGCCACCTATTAGAGAATCAAGGATAAGATTTTTGTTTCAATTCAAATCCAAATAGGATAAAAAGTAATATTTATTTATTTAGATAAGATTTTTTAGATATTTAAATTAATCATTCAAATGATTAATCTATCCATATGTTCTAGAATTCAAATTGATTTCATATCAATTTAAATTTCACATCTTTCAAATAAATATTTATCCTATTAATTAAATCAAACAAAATCCGGTTCTATTTTTAGCTTAGAAAAATGCCTACACCATAAGTGAGGTATCCCAAATTTTTCTCTTTACTAAGTACAAAGATTAAAGCCATAATGAATATCCCGATTGATAACCATCCATAAATGAATTACGCGGAGCTAGTAAAGGGACCGTTTGGACAAATATACTATGGGCTCCAATAATTCATGTTATCATTATTCTATACCAAATAATACAATTACATAA